AATTAAAAACTCTTCTCCATCAAAGGACACCATCAAGAGAGTGAAATGACAACCCACAGAACATAAGAAAATATTTGAAAATCATATATATGAGAAGAGACTATTATCCAGAATATATAAAGTATTCCTAAAATAACAAATAGATAAGCAATCCAATTAAAAAATGGGCAAAGGGCTTGAACAGACATTTTATCAAAGAAGATATACAAATGGCTAATAAGCACATGAAAAAACAATGCTTAATGACATTAGTCATCAGAGCAATGCAAATCAAAACCACAGTGAGATTCCACTGCACACCCACTAGGATCACTAGAATTAAAAAAAAAAACAAAACAGATTTCAAAAAGTGGAAAATAACAAGTGTTGGCAAGGATGTGGAGAAATGAAAACCCTCATACATTACTGGTGGAAATGTAAAATGGTGTACCTACCTTGGAAAACAGTCTGGCATTCCCCAAAAGGTTAAAGCTAGTTGCCAAAGGACCAAGCAATTCCATTCCTATGTAAATACTGCATGAAAATAAAATATATATCCACACAAAAACTTGCACATGAAAGTTTATAGCAGCACTATTTATAATAGCCAAAAAGTGGAAACAACCTAAATGTTTATCAGCTGATGAGTGAATAAAGGAAATATGGTATGTCCAGACAATGGAATATTATTCAGCCACAAAAAGGAATGAAATACTGATAAATGCTACAACATGGATGAATCTCAAAAACATTAGCTAAGTAAAAGAAGCCAGACACAAAAGGTCACATATTGTATGATTCTGTTTATATAAAATATCTAGAACAGGCAAATCCATAGAGACAGAAAGTAGATTAGTGGTTGCCAGAGGCTGGGGGAAACAAGGAATGTGGAGTGATTGCTGAATGAGGACAGACTTTCCTTTTGGGGTGATGAAAATGTTCTGAATCTAGATATTGATGATGGTTGCGCAACACTGTGAATGTCTTAAATGCCACTGAATTGTATGCTCTAAGTGGTTCAAATGGTAATTTTTATGTGATATGTATTTTACCACAATAAGCAATACAGTCAGCTCCCCATATCCATGGGTTTTATATCTGTGGATTCAACCAACCATGAGTTGAAAATATTTGAAAAAAAATTGTCTGTACTGAATATGTATAGAACTTTTTATCTTATTGTTATGGGAGGATGTGCATAGGTTACATGCAAATACTACATCATTTTATATCAGAGACTTGAGCATCTGTGGATTTTGGCATTCGTGGTAGGGCCTGGAACCAATCCCCTGTGGATACTGAGGGACAACTATATTTGGATAAAAGAAGAGCACCCTTTTGAAAGAAAGTGAGCGAAATGCCAGGTACTGATCAAGCTTTATTAAAGGAAAAGAATCTGATGGGCTGCGCTCAAAGTCACAGGCAGCCTGGGGCTGTCCTCAAAATGGAGGACAGCCCCAGATGTGGGGGTGAGAGAACTTATATAGGGTGCCAAGGGCTGGCTGATACCATCAAGGAGGGGCATTATGCTAATGCAGAAGCTATGTGACCAGGGTGGAGAACTGTGCACTTGCAGCAGCAAAAGGGTTTCTGTTTTGCAGAAGTCATGAGGCTTCTCATAAAGGGAAGGGGCAGGGGTTTGGTGCTGGAGTGGAAGACAAGGCTGGCAGCTATTTTGTGCTTATTGTGTGCACAATGGTGCTGGTCACTTCCAACATCTATCATTCCCACCTTTTAAGTATAAAGAGAAGGGGAAAGGGGTGAAGGTCTCATTCTTCTGAAGCTACTTCCTGCTGGAGATGGGCAAAGATATAGAAAAAATGAAAGATTTATGTTGGCGGGTAAAACAATTAGGTGGCAGGGTACTGGTTTTGTGTGGGGAGGATGTATTCTTCCAGGGGAGGGCCGCTGATTCTGAGAGGCTGATATCCTCCTTGCAGGAACAATTCGGCAACCTTTTGGCTGGTGAAAGGCTGCTTACATTCCTGTAAGAAATTAGAGAAATACCAAAAGAGACTGGGACTGAAAAGTAGGTTGGGGCACAATTAGGGGTCCTAGTAGGGTTATAAACCAGGGTATCTTTTGAGCATATACCACATCTGCCTGTTTTGGGGCTGTTATCCAGACCCGCTCCCTGTCTTCAGGGGACGGATATGTGTTTGGGTTGGACCGGAAGGATTCTAGTCAGTTTTGGATTTGGGAGAGATCAGAAAGAGAAAAGGGGATATGGACCCAGATAATTCCCTCTGTCCCAGCCACTTCATGGATGAGGGGTTTAAAGGAGCCGGAGTGGAGGCGGGGTTGTTACTTGATGAAGGGGAAGAAGAAGGGGGGGTTGGGTGGCTGAGGATGAAGAGAGAGAAAAAGTAAAGGGGCTGGTGAAGGATTTGGGGTGTACAGAGGTAGTTGAGGTGGTCCGTACGGGGAGCAGAGTAGTCTGATGGATTAAAAGATTAATCCAAGTCTGGAAGGGCAGGTCAGGCATGAGTGAGGAGAATTTGAGACATAGGACAGTTTTGACAGAGAAGAAGGACATGATCAAAGATAGTGGAAAAGGCTTGAACTTAAAGAATCTCTCCGGCTTGCCATTTCAGTGACAAAAGTTGTCTAGGAGAGTATCTAAATCAAGGGTGCCATCTTGTAGCCACTGGCATCCATTGTAATAAGGCATTCGAGTTTTAATGTCTCCCGGGAGGCCTGGACAAGAGATTGTCCAGGAGACAGCCTGGAGGCATAGAGCATAAAGGTTTGGATTGTAAGGATCCCATTTAGAGGGTGAGAAAGGAAATGGGCCATCCTGGTAGAAGAAGAATGCCAACAAAGAGCATCCTCTTTGTTGTCCATCTTCTTTTCAAGCAAGAAGCCACCAACTGGCTAATGGAACATCCTCTAATAGCTGGGGGCATGAGAAGAGTTCCCCCGGCCAGGTGCCTGGGCTTTCAGAACAAGAGTGAGCGAGTTGGGGGAACCTGAGATGAGACAGGACTTAGCCACTGACTCACCCTGAATTGAGGCCTATGTTGGATGCATTGGTCTGAAATGGCAAAAGGAGATAGTCCCAAGTGTACCCAGTTCGGCAGGTCTGGGAAGAGCAGCTGAAGGCTAATCAACCCAGGTGGGGATCATCCAACAACGTCGGCCAAAACCCTTGCTGGGTTTTGGCACCATAATGAAAGAAAGTGAGCCAAAATGCCAAGTACCGATCAAGCTTTATTAAAGGAAAGGAAAAGAATCTGCCAGGCTGTGCTCAAAGTGGCAGGCAGCCTGGGGCTGCCCTCAAAATGGAGGACAGCCTCAAGTGTGGGGGTGAGAGAGTTTATATAGGGCACCAAGGTCTGGCTGATACTATCAAAGAGGGCATTGTACTAATGCAGAAGCTATGCGAACAGGGTGGAGAACTGTGCCCTTACAGCAGCAAAAGGGTTTCTGTTTTGCAGAAGTCACGAGGCTTCTCATAAAGGGAANTCACAGCGCTCACTGGCTGAGCGCGGTGTGGCCGGTCTCAAAAAGGACAAAAAAAAAAAACCAAAAAAACAAATGTAAGAAAAAAAATGTAAGATAAGGTAATATATTTGCAAAAAATCAAAGCTCTCTAATTAAAAAAATATAGTCAAAAAATATAGTCATAAATGAGCTACTGCAAAGGAACTTGGTGTGTGTGTGTGTGTGTGTGTGTGTTTCGATAAGGAAGAGTAGCAATAAAGAGGTAGTAATCCTCTTGAAATTTCCCCCATTCATCCTAATAAAATTTTCCATAGAAATGATCCAGTTTTTGAGAAGAGAGCTAGGTAACTGAATTGACAGACTTACCCAGACTAAAAAGTATGACAGGGACCTCATTGATATATTGAGGATTTATGGCTATTAGATCACTTGACACTCTTCTTCAGTGCCCCACCTACTGTCTTTAACCAGGCTCCTTCAAGTGGAGCTGGGGGCACTTTCCATCTTAGCCAAATAACCTTTGCCCCTTTCAATCATCCAGCCTTAATGTTATTTCTGGGCAGCTACCTCATCAGAGGGAGGCAGTGTATCAGCAGTTGTGACCTCGTTTCTCAGGATAGGGCTAGACATGTCTGCATGGTAGAACTCTGCCAAGGAGATGTAATAGACATCCTACTGCACACATCACAATGAGGATGACAGAACCAAATAAGGTATGTAGATTATCAAAGGCTGTGGACCTGATACCGTAAAGGATTGGGCCAAACTGTAAGAACATAAATTGACTGGCAAAATTGGGATTTTAAAAATTGAAATAACCCTTAGCATTAACATAATATCTTGATTTTTACCAAGTGGGTCCTTCATCTAGCCAGGAATGGCTAACAAATAACTGAAAAGAGTGAGAAAACATCAGGACTCATTTTATTTTCAGTTTCCATAAATTCACCTCTTTCTCAGAAGCTCTGAAATATTTGACTGTATTTGAAAATGTAAGAATTTTCTTGTGATAGAAATAACAACTGGAATAACATATTGGAACTTTTTCTAAGCTTTGTCCCTCCAAAACTAATAGCAATTTTTTAATTCCAGGTCACAAATCATAATAATATATCTTGGATAACTCATAATATTTATTCTTTCTGCCTTCTCAAGGGGTATATGTTCTGCTTTATCTTTAATCTTTTTATTCTAAACTGTGTTAATACTGTTCATTGTGTTATAACTGTTATAATTGTGTTATAAACTGCCTGAAGTTTCCTTGGGATATTCTATGCTATTTCCATTAATTTTGGCTGTGCTTTTTTACCTTGAAGTTTGGATTGAAAAGTGTTCTGTGACCTCAAATGTGACCAATAATAAAGCACAAAATAACTATTTGGGGTGAATATAGAGATTCTCAAATTTGCATCCTTTAATGGAGACTGAGAGTCTGCTAAAAATGTAGATGTCAGAAGCATATGCGAGGAACAGTAGATTATTTCTTTCAATGTACATGATTCCATTTAGCTTTTCATTCAGTTTGCTAACAGATGGGCACCATCACGGCCTTCAGTGGTACTTAACACCATTTTTTTTCTTATAGGTTGATGTTCCCCATTCCTTTAGGACTGAGAAAACTGAAGTGGGCACCAGGCAAAATTCCCAAACACTACCATCAGAAACTGAAATTTATGACAATGACCCTGACTCTTGGGTCAGGATGCAGAAAGGGCCTGAAGTTTATTCTAACCCATGCCTGGAGGAAAACAAACAGGGCATTGTTTACGCTTCCCTGAACCACTCCATCATTGGAATGAACCCAAGACAGGGAAGAAACGTGAAAGAAGCATCAACAGAATATGCATCCATATGTGTGAGGAGTTAAATGTGGCCCTGACTCCAGCCAGTGATCACTGCATGATCAGCATGTCAGCACCATTGTCTGGGCCCAACAGGACATCTAACAATGTTTCTCAACTTGGGAATTTTCCCATTAAGGAGGTTCATGTTGGTTCTCAGTTCTTAAGGATATATAGGACAAATGATTAAAATTTCTCCTGGAATCTTTTTGAGACGCCTTTTATATTATAGCCTTGAGCAACAAAATCTTCTCTCCAAGACTGACTGATATCATCAGTAGCAGAATAGTAGAATATTTAAACTTAGCTACATTTTACCCAATATACAAACTCAATTTTTCTTTTGGAACTATCAGAGAAATGTGTAGGGAAGAGAGGTTTGTGTTATCTGGTTCAGCTCACTACACACACTTAAAAAAGAAAGAATGTACCAGTTTGACTAACCAACCATAAATACAGAAATGATCATATGTTTTCAGTCAACCTTTCACAATAAGAAATTTTACTATGTCAATCTAAGACTGGTGTTTCTTAAATGTAAAGGAGAAATAATTTTAGACTTTTTATAAGAAAAGAATGGAAAGATTAAATGGTGCAATAAAGATACAGAATACATCAATAGGGTGTGGGGTAGTTGTTCCCCGTAACTGGCAAACTTGTATCTACCCTATTAGATTGCCAAGAAAATACAGATATTACTAGAGCAATTGATGTATAGTGCATTTATGAGCAAAGTGGTGACTCAGTATTTGGGTCACATAGACTAATGTATATGAATGTGACATAATGCTGCTGAACTAATACATTTGTGGGCATCTGAACAAAATTAAAAATTAGCGGGAATTGGTGTTATCACGCAAGTGAAGATTGATGGCTTAAACTACTTCATGCTTGACTTGATAGCATATGAAAAGCACGATTAATGGAATGGAGAAAAGTTCTTAATATTTAGTTGATGAGTATTTCACTCACCACATCTGTATCTTGCTGTTCTCCTCACTAAGGAATCAGGGCAAATTATATGTAGTGAAGTATTACAGTTTGATAATCATTTTTAAAAACTGAGGTTGCAGCCACTTAAAAGCATAAAAAGATAGTTTCACATTTTCTGAATTTCCAGGGTACTTGAGTCTAATTATTTCAAAAATAGTCTACAACTGTATTCAATAGTTTGAGGCTATTAGGATTCTCAGGTGCTGCTACTACATAACAGTAGTTCTCATACAAAATGAGAACTTGAACAGATACATGAGCTGCTTCACAATGAATGTGGCCTGTGTGTGCATGTGCGCATGTGTGTGTGTGAGTGTATAGAAGGGGTAGGGGCATACAGAAATGATACAAGAGAAACTGATCAAACTGACATTGCATTTTTAGTTTGTTTATGAAGCTCAAAATACTAGAGTAACTGGGTCATTAAAAAAGTAATGTGTGAAATTATGGGAATGAGTGTGAGAAAAGGACACACACAAAGAGACAAAACTGAGGTTTTGTGGTGGAGCTTTTCTTATGTAACACTGGTGTTGGGTTTGAGCTCCTTAGATTTGGAGCTGCAGGTATTCATCACTGTTATCTACTGTTATCTAACCAGTATGATATCATTACAGCTCGAATTTTAAGCAACAAATTCTAGGTAGGCTCTTCCAGCCAAGCTTCATTTGTGGGCAACTTATGCAAAAAAGACGTATTAGAATAGCTGCTTGTGGTATTCTTAAAAATAGATACAGGAAGTGTGGGGAAAATACATTTAGCTGTCCTCTTATCAGATAAACATATAACATTGAACAGTTTCTTCACAATTCTCTTTAATTTAAAAAACAAAATATTTCTGTTGTTGTTTACTATATTCTTAGCATGACTTACAGTAAAGATAATGTTGATAATGATTTCACGTCTATCAATGATTTATTCTTATGTTTGTACCATCCTTGCCAAAATCACAAATCATTTATGTTTTTATTCCTCTTTAATAAAGGTATCAGATATATCTATGTGTATTTTTCCCAAATAAATCTATTTCAGTATTATTTACTTGGCTTATTTTATTAATTTATAGGTGGTCTGAGAAAAAGAATATAGATAATTTAATAATTTTTCACAAATTTAATGCTTGTTGATTGTTCCCAATAAGAATATAAAGTTATTAAAACTTATTTGAGGGCCGGCCCGGTGGCGCACTGGATAGTGCACCGCTTGGGAAGCGCGGCAGCGCTCCCGC